CTTCCATTACAAAAGACTCTTATTGACTTTACATGGGATCAAACTTTGTGAGCTCATAACTCAGCATCAGACTGTCATACAGACTAATGGCTGAGCTCATTTAACTGAGTCTAGCCAGCAGCCAATCACTGATGGCCTTTTAACTTTCTAGCCACACCCCTAACTACCACATACTGCACCCTAGCAACTGTCCCGTAGACTTCCATTACAAAAGACTCTCATTGACTTCCATGGGATCAAACTTTGTGAGCTCATAACTCTGCATCAGACTGTCATAGAGACTAATGGCTAAGCTCATTTAACTCAGTCTAGCCAGCAGCCAATCACTAATGGCCTTTTAACTTTCTAGCCACACCCCTAACTACCACATACTGCACCCTAGCAACTGTCCTATAGACTGTAATTAGCTGTGCTTTCAAATGCTTATAATTCTAACATGCTAATGACATGCCAATCATGCTAGCAACATGCTACTCATATGCTAATCATGCTAATGACATGCTAACTCATACTGGAAACAGGCTAATGACATGCTAATTTGTACAAGAATCATGCTAGTAACATGCTAATTCATACTAGACTCATGTTAATAACTGGCCTACATGCATATCTTTGCTTAGCAGTGTCCTATTGACTTGGGGGATGGCTCATCTGACTCAGACAACCAATGAGCATCTCAATATGATAATGAAGCTCACAAGCCACGCCCCCAAATTGATTCCATTGACTTCCATTAAAATAGGCCAAGATGCATATCTTTGCATAGCAGTGTCATAGAGACATGGGGGTTGGTTCATTTGACTTAGACAGCAAACCACAATCAAGTGCACTCTGTAACCTCGCCCATAGCAACAAAACAGAGTACCCTAGCAACCATTCATCAACAGCTATATCTCAGCATCAGAACATCGTAGAGACTTGGAGATTGGCTCGTTTGACTTATGCTAGCAAACGGAACTTCCTAAATGCTACACATGCTAGCAGTGATTAGCTACATGCTAATATTGACTAGCCAAGTACTGTAACTTGCTAGAAATGCTTACTAAGTATAAATGTTTTATCAGGCATGTATGTGAGGCTTGCCTAGTAACCAACCAGGGTACCCTAGCAACTGCCTAGCAACCATCCAAATTACCCTAGCAATCGCCTAGCAACCACCTAGCAACGGCCTAGTAATGCCTTAATAAGGGCCTAGTGACCACTCAGGACACCCTAGCAACCGCCTAGCAACGCCTTAGCAACCACTCTGAATACCTTAGCAACCACCTAGCAACACCTTAGCAACCACTTGGGACACCTTAGCAACCGCCTAGCAACACCTTAGCAACCACCTAGCAACCAGTCAGAACACCCTAGCAACCGCCTAGCAACGCCTTAGCAACCACCAAGCAACCACTCAGGACACCCTAGCAACCACCTAGCAACACCTTAGCAACCACCTAGCAACCACTCAGGACACCCTAGCAACCGCCTAGCAACGCCTTAGCAACCACTCAGAATACCCTAGCAACCACCTAGCAACACCTTAGCAACCGCTTAGCAACCACTTAGGACTCCTTAGCAACCACCTAGCAACACCTTAGCAACCACCTAGCAACCACTCAGAACACCCTAGCAACCACCTAGCAACACCTTAGCAACAACCTAGCAACCACTTAGAACACCCTAGCAACCGCCTAGCAACACCTTAGCAACCACTCAGAACACCCTAGCAACCACCTAGCAACATCTTAGCAACCACTCAGAACACCCTAGCAACCGCCTAGCAATGCCTTAGCAACCACCTAGCAACCACTCAGAACACCATAGCAACCACCTAGCAACAGCCTAGCAACCGCCTAGCAACATCTTAGCAACCACCTAGCAACCACTCAGGACACCCTAGCAACTGCCTAGCAACGACTTAGCAACCACTCAGAATACCCTAGCAACCACCTAAGCATGCTATGTGACATGCTAATTCATACTAGAATCATGCTAGTAACATGCTAATTCATACTAGAATCATGCTAATAACATGCTAATTCATACTAGAATCATGCTAGTAACATGCTAATGCATGCCAGAATCATGCTAATAACATGCTAATTCACGCTAGAATCATGCTAGTAACATGCTAATTCATACTATAATCATGCTAATAACATGCTAATTCATGCTAGAATCATGCGAGTAACATGCTAATTCATGCTAGAATCATTCTAGTAACATGCTAATTCATACTAGAATCATGCTAATTCATGCTAAAATCATGCTAATAACCTGCTAATTCATACTAGAATCATGCTAGCAGTATGTTAATTCATACTAGAATCATGCTAGTGACATGCTAATTTATTCTAGAATCATGCTAGTAACATGCTAATTCATGCTAGAAGCATGCTAATAACATGCTAATTTATACTAGAATCATGCTAATAAAATGCTAATTTATACTACACTCATGCTAATAACATGCTAATCCATGCTAGAATCATGCTAATGCATGCTAGAATCATGCTAATAACATGCTACTTATACTTTTTCAAACTTTGAAAAAACTTTTTCAAACATGCTAATTTATACTAGAATCATGCTAATAAAATGCTAATTTGTACTACACTCATGCTAATAACATGCTAATCAATGCTAATCCATTCTAGAAACATGCTAATGCATGCTAGAATCATGCTAAAAACATGCTACTTATACTTTTTCAAACTGTTTTTAAATTAAACAAACTATTACCAACAGGCTTTGTCAAGCCAGCCTCAAAGTTTGTCTCGACGAACTTTACTGTCTAGTTCTATTTTTTCTTCTGTCATCCATATTTATCATCCTGTGTTTTTCTGTGAACCATTTTGTCATCCTGTCATCATTCTATCTATCATTTTGACATATCATTCAATCTGTTGTTTTTTATTTTACTATTTTTACCCATCTATAGATCATTCTATCTGACATTCAGTGGTTCTTTCGGTTTGCCATTCTGTCTGTTAAATCCAAATAAGATTTAAATTCTACATCAATTGTTTGGTAATTACAATTAATTTCAGGAACTGACCTGATGTTTATGGTAGTATTCTAAATTCATTTCTGGATGGTGCTCATTCCTGAATTTTATGCATTCTAAAGGAACCTTTACACCAACACAATTTACACAATTCTTTTTTTAAATTGGCCAAAAAACAAACTTGACTGAGGCTAGTGGGCTAAAGGTAAATATATTATTCTAATATATATGCAAATTTATTTAATAATTTTTAAAAATGACAAGAAAACATTGCTTTATATGAACTAATATAGTATATCTTTTACATTTTATTAAGTTTGCTCCAATCAATCAGCTAGAAATTGGTATCGGCTAATAATCACATTTAATGACTCACGGTACTCACTGATCTGGCCAGTCTAATGAACCGATCGCAAGTGTTATGAGTTTACAAGCAGAGAAAGACACAAGTGCGCACCTGGGTTATATATCCAGGTTACAAACTAAAACCATTGAAGGGGTAAATAATGTGTGGGGGGCATGAGAGATCACTGCACTCCCAACACAGCAACTAAAAAACATACAGATGTGGTGCGACCACTGTTTATACTTTTTTTTGGCGACTCACGCGAGTGATAGTCTCTTTGTTGCAGGTGCAACCTTTGTATATCCAGTGTTTTGAGCTGCTGTGACGCGAGTTGAGCGACTAGACTAAGCAAGGAAAACATGTCATAAAATTCACAGTAACGTATAACAAGACTCAGCAACTTCTGTGTGTTTGTGTGCTGTATAAATAGTCCAGTAATCAGTCCATGATTGGAATGGAGACTTGGAGCAGGTGTGTGTGTGTTGCATGACTGGATCTTGTAGTCCATATACCGGCAGATTTGTAGTTCTCTAGTGATCTGCAGGGGCTAGATCGCTGCTGACTGTGACAGCAGGTAAACACTTGAGGGGACAATTCTCAGTCTCTTCTCAGATAGGATAGTGGGCCAAATCAAAGGTTACAACGGGCCAACTTTGGGTCCTAGGACATTTCTGCTTTACACAATTATTATGTAAAACATTATATATCTTATGATCTATCCACAAATTTTTTCCAGAATCACTTTTTTTTCGTAGTACTGCATAGTACTTGTGTAGGCGTCAAGTGAAAATGATAAACTTTAAAAAAACATTAAATGCACCCTTAAGACTCCTATATTCTGATCTTTTCCAGGGCTGTTTTTTCATTCAAAAACTAGTTCTAAGTGAATGTCCCCAAAGGCTTTATTTGCAGCGTTCTTTTCACTCCAGTTAAAGGAGAAATGACTTGTATTTTGTCATCAGCTACAAGCTCAATAGAGACTCCACCACACATTTCTATTCATAAGTGGATATTCACCCACATTATTGAGCCAACGTCCTCTAGAAACCCATTGAGGATGGCTCTTTCCACCTGGTTCTCATCAGATGCCAGATTGTAGACATTCTGCTGCCATTCTCCATATTTCAGCATGCTGTATAATTACTATGGCTAGAATGCCTGTGACTACACTTTTGCCAATACGTTTTTTTTTTTTGTTAAAGACATGACAGAAAAGGGAATGCGTGAACGTGTCACTAAGAGGATTAAATGAATAATGAACATAATTATCAGTCCTACATTGGCCACCTTTCCTCCCCAGTGTATTGGAATATTCATTATCTAGGGCATTTTCTTATTCATGACCCCACTGTGAGAGGAATGATGTAGTTAATGATAAAGTCAGAGGTGACAGGATTGAATTTTCTCGGTGCTAAAGAGCGGATTAGAGCAGTGAAATCCTTTATGAGGTGGAAAAACGGTACTCTGTAGACATACAGTATTATGGTTAAACTACACTGTAAAAAGATGATATATGTGATCATACAATGCACGCTGTTGAATTGAATCTGCAGTCATCAACTTTTTCTTGTCTTGGGGAATTGGTTGGTTGAATTAATGTGAGAGAAAGCTAGTATTCCATTGTGTCCTTCTATTTTAATTGTGCTTATCCTATTGTTCCAGGCGCTGTGGATATATTAAAGCAAAGCAAGACCCTGAGGAGGAGAAAATGCAGTTTCAGCATGGACGAGGTAAGGTGTACAGTTTTTTTGTCTTGGAAAAAACTCAAATAAAAATATATCACGGTGGCTCAGTGGTTAGCACTCTCGCCTCAAAGGAAGAAGGTTGCTGGTTTGAGTCCTGGTTTAGCCAGTTCATATTTCTGAGTTTGCATGTTCTCCCTGTGTTGGCGTGGGTTTCCCCCGGGTGCTCTGGTTTCTCCCACAGGCCAAAAACATGCACTATAGGTAACTTGAATAAATTAAATTGGCCATAGTGTGTGAATGTGAGTTTATGGGTGTTTCCCAGCACTGGGCTGCAGCTGGAAGGGCATACGTTGCGTAAGAAAATATGCTGTAATAGTTGTCGGTTCATTCCACTGTGGTGACCTCTGATAAATCAGAGACTAAGCCTAAGGAAAATTCAGTGAATGAAAAATATATCCGGCTAAACATTTTAAGACATCTAATGTAGTTTGTTTAAAAAATAATTTAAGAAATCTGGTCAAATGTATGGTCTGCATTGTTTTGGCCTGTCAAACTGTGAACATAATTTGTTCTGGCTGGATGGGTGGATATAAAAAATGCATGTTTTTTTCCTGCAAATTGCTGGTTAGTGAACTCGTAGAGTCTCTCATGCTGATAAATGATGCCTCTGATCGCTCTAGTTGCCTAATGTGTGTTTTTTTCTAATGACACTTTTCTTGCCTGCCAAAGACAATGTTTAATGAGGTTGAAAATGTGGCACTCCCCTCCTTTTAGGAAAATGGATGGTTCTGTCTAGGTAACTAAAGTGACTGTAAAACAACCCAACCGTTATCCTCAATCCTACCGTTTTCTTGAATTGCAGTCAAACTTCCTGAAACCCGTACGTACATTCACCCCCATACATATGAAGACCCGAACCAGGCAGTGCGAGACTTCGCCAAAGAGATTGAAGTCTCCAACATTCGGATTGAAAGAGTCATTGGGGCTGGTAGGTCAAAATAAACTACAAGACTAAAGTTTAATGACCACTTTTGATGTTAACCTGATTCAGTAAATTTAGCATTATATAGTAAATTGCTAGCATGTTGCCTGCATGACTTATCTAATCTTGCTAGTATGTTTCTATGTTGTTTAGCCCTACTTGAACTCCCTAATCATAGTCTTCTGACTCACTAGAAATGTTTATAGGCAAGTTTGTTGGAGCTAAACTGCATGATGCTAGCCCTATAGGAACAGAACAGCATACACTTGTTTCAACATTTTACTAGCATGATGACCACGTTGCTAGTGTGTATTAGCTCAATGATAGCATTTTGCTATCTTGATTTATCCTTTTGTTTACATGCTGCTTGAAGTTTATTATGTTTGTAGCATGATGCTAACATGTTTCTGGTATGAATAAACTCACTGTTGTTATGTTTTAGCATGTTGCTGGTAAGAATTAACATGATGCTAGCTTGTTTCTAGCATGAATAAACACAACTAGCCCTACTTATGACCAGTAAGAATGTTGTTACATGATTTATATTGCTAACATGTTTTAGCAGCCCTGCTTAAAAATCCAGCTTAAACCAGCCTAGGCTGGTTTTAGCTGGTTGACCAGGCTGGTTTTAGAGGGGTTTTGGCCACTTCCAGGCTGGTTTCCAGCCATTTTCAGTCTGGTCTTAGCTGGTCAGGCTGGAAAATGACCAGCTAAATCTAGCTAAAACCAGCTTGACCAGCCTGGTTTAAGCTGGACATAGCTGGTTTTGGCTGGGCTCCCAGCCTGGCTAGGCTGGTCAAGCTGGTTTTAGCTGGTCATCTCCCAGCCTGACCAGCTAAGACCAGGCTGGAAATGGCTGGAAACCAGCCTGGAAATGGCCAAAACCCCTCTAAAACCAGCTTAGGCTGGTTGAAGCTGGATTTTTCAGCAAGGATTTGTTGTTTACATGATTTGGTCTGTATTCTAAATGTTTGTATCCACAGACTTGCATATTTTAACACATGGCTAGCATGTTATAGCATTTTGACAGATTAATTGTGTTTGTATAGTGTCCATTTTTTTTATTTGCCATACTGACAACATTTCTCAAGCCAACATAGCAATTTAAGAATGTGCTACAGTTGTGTTTACCATCTGAACAGCTCACCAGGCGAACGTACTGAAATAAAATGAAGGATTGGGGGGAAATTGAGTTAGCTGACAGGCTCTTGTTTTCCTATCAGGTGAGTTCGGCGAGGTCTGCAGTGGCCGTCTGCGTCTGCCCAGTAAAAGAGAGATCCAGGTGGCCATCAAGAGTCTGAAAGCTGGATATTCAGAACACCAGAGACGCGACTTTCTGAGCGAGGCCAGCATTATGGGCCAGTTCGACCACCCTAACATCATTCGACTGGAAGGAGTTGTCACCAGATGTAAGCGTTTATATCCCATTCACACATTCACAGCATGCTTCGTCTAGCACCGGAAATAGTTTGTACCCTAGTGTTTTCCACACTGAGATAATTGACCTTACAATCTTATCTTCAACAAATAACATGCATCATGAATATTCATTGGAATAAATATGTATGACAGTATTTATATCAGTGATTTTCTGCCCTACTTCTACAGAATACAAATGTGCTATGACAGAATGCCTTTGAATATGCTTTTATCGCTTTGAATTATCACGCTAGCTGGGAAGATAATGTCTTCGGAAATGTCATAGATAACACAAATGTTGGCTTAAAGAGTATGGGGGAAAAAGTTGTCACTGTTTTGTTGGACATTGTGTTATTATATTGGGTATTATTTCAGATTGTTTGAATCATCTCTGTTGAAAACAAGAAATTCATGTTTGCTGCTTTTGGTTGATAATGAAACTGCTAATATTGGTTGTCATTAGAATAGTGCCACTGAACCTTATCCAAATTTGCCAACTTATTGAGAATGTTGTCACCATTGTGTGCACTTCAAAGCTCCTATTGTGTGTGTTAAAACATACAATGTCTTGCAACAGGTGTTTTGGTCACTATTGAGTGATAATTTCCTCTACAGATCTTTTGCATTTTCTCTTCCCCAGTGGATTAGACTGACAGCCTCTGAAACAAAAGGACCATGCATATTCATGCCGGCTGCATGAACATCGATAATACAAACATGTAATTGGATGCGAGTTTTGGGAGGGACCATGAATATTCAGTGTCACAAATATTAACATTAAGGCTCTTGACGTTTCCTCCTGGTTCCTATTATTTGTGCGAAACGCTAATGGTGGCTTTTGGTTTGATTTAATCCAAATGGTCAATATTAATGTTGGAGGTTCAGATCAGCTTTACACTCTCTTATTAGGAGAAAGTACAGTAATTTTGTTCCTTTTAATTCGGTGCCGTTACAACATAATTATGAGGTTTTAAAAGTTTCATTCAACAGATACAGTCAGTAAAAGAAAGTCATTATTGTAGGTTTGCGAAAGTTTTGAAGGTACCGACTGCTGCACTGTCAATGCTTTCAGTCAGGAATTGGAATGCTATTTATATTTTGGTTGAGGTTTGAGTAATTTATGTCTAGTTACAATAGTTGCTACATATTATCACTTCTTTTATAAATGTGTTTTGTAAAAGTAGAAAAAAGTTATACCAATGCAATTTCATGGCAATTCGTAACTTTTTTATTTAGAGTATTTTATATTCATTTGTGCATCTCATTTCTTACATTTTTGTATGATTTGGTCATCCCCCAATGAAGGTATGGTTTCGTGGCACATTTCCTTTTAAAAAAATTGTGTTTGTCATACAAATAAAATTGTATGTTGCTGCATGGTGGCGCAGTGGGTAGCACGTTTGCTTCACATCAAGAAGGTCACTGGTTCGAGCCTAGGCTGGGTCAGTTGGCGTTTCTGTGTGGAGTTTGCATGTTCTCCCTGTGTTTGCGTGGGTTTCCTCTGGGTGCTCTGGTTCCCCCCACAAGTCCAAAGACATGCGGTACAGGAAAATTGGGTTGGCTAAATTGCCCGTAGTGTATGTGTGTGAATGAGTGTGTATGGATGTAAATGGATGTGTCGCAGCTGGAAGCATCTGCTGCGTAAAACATATGCTGGAAAAGTTGTCGGTTAATTCCACTGTGGAGATCCCAGAATAATTAAGGGACTAAGCTCTAAAGAAAACAAATAAATTAATTAATGAATGAAATTGTATGAATATGTATGAATTAGCCCCTTTTCTGCCAATATTTAAAATAGTTACAATTTCTCCTCAGTTTGGATTGGTTATACATAATAATAACAATAATTCTTAGTCATCGTCATCAATGTTGTAGTAGTCGTAGTAGTAGTTTTTACGTAGTAGTAGTAGTTGTCAATGTAGTAGTAGTCGTAAGGCAAGGCAAGGCAAGTTTATTTATATAACACGTTTCCTACACAGTGGCAATTCAAAGTGCTTTACAACAGGAATAAAAGGGACAAATATAGGTAAATAAAAGCAAATAATAAAAGTAGTTAAAAACAGATAAAAACAGATAAAAATTTGTGTAGTAGTAGTCATCGTCATTATAGTCTTCATAATCGTAGTCGTAATAGTAGTTGTAGTCATAGTAGTAGCAGTCATAGTTATAATTGTCGTCGTAGTCATAGTAGTATTTGTTGTCATTGTCATAGTCGTCGTCTTAGTAGTCATTGTCGCAGTAGTGGTGATCGTCGTCATCATTCATTCAAAAAAGTGCTCTGTTGCTTGTTCAAACAACTTATTTAAAATAATTTGAAATGACAATTTTAAGTTTTTGTTGGGACAACATAATTGTTTTATGTTCACTCCACTTAAATTTGTAAAAACAATTAAGTTAACTTAATCAATTTGTGTTGGTACAACATGAAGGAAATGTGTGAAACCCAGCAGTTTTTACAGTGTACACTGAAAAAAAAATATTCAAAGATGATTCCTCGCATTCACTACTTTTTAAGTTAAGTGGTTGTGGACAATTTATTTGGGCTGAATTTAAACAAACAATTTAAGTTTAACACATATAAATTATTTGCAACAATTTCGCTAACATAATTTTTTTCAGTATAGTAGTAGTGATAATGATTAAAAGTTGCAATCTGATTTCATACACTTTAGTACAATTTGGTCATCCACCAATGAGGGTGGGGTTTGAGGCAAGCCTCCTTTTAAAAATCATACGAATGAAATTATATGAATTTGTACGAATTAGCCACTTCTCAGCCAATACGTAAAATAGCTACAATTCCTCATCAGATTGGGCTGGTTATACATATTAATAATAATAATAATACGTAGTCGTCATTTTCGTCGTCATAGTAGTCGTCTTTGTTGTAGCAGTAGTTGTATGTTGTCTTCGTAGTAGTAGTGTTAGGCATCCGTCAACATCGTAGTAGTAGTAATAGTAGCAGTTGTCGCACATTCAAAAAATACTAATCAAAAATTTGTTGAAACAACACAATTTTTAAGCTTTTGTTGGGGCAACTTTGTTGTTTCATGTTCAGTCCACTTAAATTTGTAAAAAAAAAATAATAATAATTAAAACTATTAAGTTAACTTAACTGATTTGTGTTGTGACAACAAGGAGGAATTGTGTGGAACACATCAGTTTTTTATAGTGTAGTAGAAGTAGTGAAAAAAAACTACAGCAACAAGACATTTTAATGAACCATTTTATTATTTATTTTTTTCTATATACTTAAGCATGCATTTCGCTTAACACCAAACCATCATTCACCAAATCCTGATTAATGAATAAATTAAATATGAATAAGAAAAAATGACACACGATTTTACCTGCTGAAGGTTGCGTGACAGCCTTTGAGGACCCATATGTGATCCCACATGCACGTGAATGAGGCCCAATGAAACTATCAGATTGCGCATCATCCATATTGCTCTTTCCGCCACTAAAGTAATATAACACACGTGTGTGAGTGTGTGCCGGTCTGCCACTGATTGGGTGAGATTTGATAGCTGGAGTAATTTCACAGGTCACAGATCTGCCTGATGGTGTAGGGGATGAGGACAGGAGAGGTCAGCAACCCCTAGCACTGCATTACCGAAGCAGCTGTCAATCCAGACTAATGACAGAGCCGAGCCGAGACGCGTTAAAGAGCTCGGAGAGTGTTTATGCTGCCTGATGGAGCGCCGGCAAGCCAGACAAAGAGTTTTGCGTCGTAATATGAAAAGCATCTGTCACCTAACACAGCTTTCGGAGAGGCGCTCTATCATTACCACCTCAGACGGAAAAAAATTAGGCCGTGATTGAGCTTTTTGTGATGCAAATGTTGTCAGGAGCTCGGAGAATGGAATCAAGAATAGACCTTAATGCCCCATTCAGTTCCTCATCCCCCATCTTTACAAAAACAGCGAGCTGTCATCGTCTCTATTATAAACCCATTGTGCCGCGAACCATCAGATTAGCGGACTCCAGTATTCTATCTGATAACGTTCGCCGTCCACAGCTGTATTTTCAGGTTCATTCCAGCTGAGTCCTGAAGAAAAGTTGAACAGCGGGAACAATAGATAAGAGAATGTCGACTGAATCATTGAAAGTGTTGCTTTGTTCGGAGTAATGTGTGCTTTAAGCTGAAGCTTAACTTGTTTTAAACCCGAACATTCCTTTATCCTTTGTTATTTGATGATAATTTGCTGTCATTTCATTAAATGCCTCCAAAGGTTGTGGTCTGCGTATTGTACACAGGGCACTAACTGGGGTCTTTTGGAATTTCGCATGAAACATTTGTGAACAAAGCACCACTTACATCAACAGTAATGTTTGCATCCAAAATTACAAATTTTACTTGTAGGAAAAATTCAGATAATGGTGAAGAGGAGACAGAATGATAAAGCCAATTATGAAATGGGGATGGTTAAAAAGCCATGATGGACCAAGGCCAGTGGGTAAATTTGGCCAGGATTTAGGTTTCAGTTTCACCTTGCTAGCGAGCGTGGTGTGGCAGAGCTGTGAGCATTTTCTTTTATAAGTAGATATTTTGATATGTGTATACAGTGGTTACCACTTTTGATTTGATCGTTTTGAGTAGTAGATTTTCGTGAATATATTTGCTTTATTGATTTGATACTTTGTTTATTTTTGGATATTTCTTGTACTGTTCTTGTATTGTTCATACTTTTTGGGACATTGGACACTGTCTATATATATATATATAATATATATCTATATAATATATATCTATATATATATAATCTATATATATATATATAATATATATATATATATATATATATATATATATATATATATATATATATATATATATATATATATTAGGGGTGTAACGATATTAAAACCGAACCGAAATATCGCGTTACACCAACCACGATACGTATCGCGAAACTCTCGTGGCGTACCGCGGTACTCTCACGCCCGCTGCTGCCCATTGTTGAGGTTGACGTCACTTGTCTCTAAC